TAACGCGCGAATAGAGTTGCTCATTGGTTACCACGAGTGTTTTCTCCAGTTTTCCTGCCTCCCCGAAAATTAATTCCTGAATTCCCTATCGATCTGGAAAGCTCATAGGATCYTGTTATTTAGGAGGCTAAGCAATCACTGCCTCCTCTTTAAGAAAACAAAAATTATATTTTTTTCTTTGTATTTCAGGTCTGTCTGTGACATCTCCTGGTCGTCAAGAGCTGTGTCGACCAGAACCTGTATGTCATAACACGCCTTCCAAACCCGATACAGAACTAGAAAGCAAGCCTCCAATACTCAAGAAAGTCGTCGCAGAAAAAGCGCACCCTATCCCAGTGGGAGAAGTAGGCCCGGTAGCTGTAAAACGACCTGCAATACACGCGGGACTACCTACAGTCATACCCGCAGGGGCACCTGTACTCAAGAGTCAGGGGTCGTTACATACTTCAATCAGACAAGGTAAGACTTACAGTCCCCCCTCCCCTAACCAAACGTTCTCTGACACTGATGCTAGTTCGAATTTTTTTTTTTTTTGCCAGTTAAATAAAATTTCAGAACTTTTCCCACTCTCTTGCTCTTTTCTAGACAGATAAAACTAGTGGCCAATGATGGGATATTGATAGAGACCTGTCTTTAACATCTTGGACAATTATTCACGTCTCAAACATTGCAAAACCGGTCTCTATCATTGCCAGCTCACCGTTCGTCTCGCTTCAATGCAAAGGCACCGCTACATGCTTAACCCTTTTTACCCAACTACAAGCTTCTTCTAACGGTAGCGGATTACCCGCGTCTGCTTATCTTCCCACAATGCCACTATTTTTTTTATTGCAGCAAAGTATTGAGACTTTTAATTCATGTTTTAGGTCTCAAGCCACCAGGTCAAGAAGAGCGAGCCTCAACACCTGGAGGTCTGAGCTCTAGATTGTCTGGTAGTCCCAGACCTATGCCCAGTAGTCCGCGACCATTATCGACTAGTCCCAGGCTCCCGCTGCCAAAGGCTAAGATCTCCGAGAATAAATCTTCTACGGCTAATGAGAGTCTTAGCTCATCTTCGTCATCAGAAAAATCGGTCAAAGATACTGATACTGATGTCGTCATCGTAAAGGAAGAGCATGAGCCTGCAAGTGACAAGGGCAGCAGCATCGATGCAGAGAAGATAAAGGACAGGAAGCGAAGCCCTTACCAATCGTCAAAGGTGCAACTGACTACTGAAAATTACATGTACCAGCTGCAACAGAGACAAATGTATCAGGTATAAGAAGGTGGCACTGCTTTAACACTTGAAGGGGTTGTATTTTATCCAGTGACAAAGATGTTGGATGTAGAGCTGTTGGCGTAAGAGTGGGATGAAGGTGGCACTGCTTTAGCACTTGAAGGGGTTGTATTTTAATCCAGTGACAGATGTTGGATGTAGAGCTGTTGGTGTAAGAGTGTGATGAAGGTGGCACTGCTTTAGCACTTGAAGGGGTTGCATTTTAATCCAGTGACAGATGTTGGATGTAGAGCTGTTGGCGTAAGAGTGTGATGAAGGTGGCACTGCTTTAGCACTTGAAGGGGTTGCATTTTATTCAGTGACAAAGATGTTGGATGTAGAGATGTTTTCATGTGAGTGGATTGCGATATAGGTGCAGTGATTTGAAGTTGTGGTTGTCGTGCTGTATCTTATCGTAACCATAACTTTAAGCGTACGATAACAATAAGAAAGCCATTTCAGCGTTATAGCGTGTCCCAGCGCCCATATGTAAAATGCTCTAATTAAAAGTTTATGCAAAGAAAACACTTTTCTTAAAACACCCTTGCTTGATATGACATTGAAAAGTTACTCGCTTTATCTTTAAGGCGCGATTACACGTAGCAATTTTCTTTTCAACTCGTCTCGCAAAGGCGTTGAAACACAAATTGCACGGAGCATTGCAGCAAGTAACCTACAGCGCAATTTGAAAAATGTTGCGAGACAAGTTGCAAGCAATCGTTGCCAAAAGTAGAATTCGTTTCTACTATTGGCAACGATTGCGTCTCCGTTGTACCGTGTAAACACTCTTGCAACTTATGTTGTAACGCTGTTGCGGGACAAGTTGCAGAGAAAATTGCTCCATGTAATCTACCTTCAGGCTTGCTTAGAGCTGCTCGTGCCTTGTACTAGAGACTGATATTAATATTTCTGAGAACATCAAGTCCAAGTGGATTTATTGTTTTACGATTCCCTTTCTTTTGCGTAAATGTTTACTAAGACTTTGTATGTCTCAATGTTGGTATGTTTAAGATGATTAGATTAATCCAAGTACTGATTCTTTCTTAGGCTGGCATGGAATTAGCTTACATGCCGCCTTTCGCGAGCCCTTGGCACCTCAGCATGTCTCCCGAACGGATAAAACTATTACAACAACATCATTATCGTATGAGAGCCGAGGAAGAGACCAGAGAGGTAAGGTTTATTTTTCTCAAGTTTAGATGAGTGCACAATCTATTAGAAGCAATCTTGAGTTAGTTGGCTGATCTGTAGTTTGAGCACCAGTGATTTTTTCTTTCTACTCGATGTAGCCCTAGCTATAAATACCCTTAAAACCGAGCACTGATGGAGAAAGGGGGTCAAAGGCGCAACACGTTTGCCCAATCTACGGATTCCAAATAACTGCCTTTACCATATAAGGGTAGGCGTGGGTATGGTTGTAGACCCCTTGCATGTGACGTCAARGCAACTCAATTTGGAGGACAAAACAAAAGAATGTCAATCTGCGAATTGAAAAAAACTATACTTATGTCCTCCAAATTGAGCTGCATTCTGACGTGCTGCTGTGGTCTATAGGCTATTTAATCAGGTACCATTATTYGTTTTATTCGTTACAGATCTCAAAGAACCCAAAGGAAGATCCTAACAAACTAAGAATGGAGAAACGAGAGTCCAGTAGTTCCATRGAAAGACGCACAGCATCAGAAGGGCGAACAACTGAACAGGTCGTAAGAAGCACTCCACCACGACCAGAAAGACGGCTTATTACGGGTATTTCATCCCCCAGCGAAGTATCTAGAAGTAGTACATCTGATGGGTTGAACCRGGGGGTGCCGCGCTTAACCCAGGTGGACGAACCTCCAGAGAAGAAGATGAGAGCAGAGTATTCAAAGAGTGATGATGCAGAACGAGAACTTCAAAARCTAAGACATAAAAGACAAGAAGAATACTTGTCCAAGCAAAGCATGCAGCACAAGTTTACTATGTTCAAGTAAGTCTTTGTTTCTCATTTTGGGATTCCTGTGATTTGAGACTTCCACAGGGAGCCCACACAATCTGACGAGACCCTACCCTACCGCAGATCATTTGAATCAGTGAATTTACATTACTATTGCTTAAACCAACAGGCAACTAGAGAGTGGTGGAGGTGCTGCTAAAACGCATTCTATACCACCACTGACCACTACCAATAAAGATCGACTGGGAGAAAGAGAAGACGACTATCCCAAATCGAAATATGCCCAGCGGTCTCCTTATGGAGAAAGTCTACAACCAAGAACACAGGTGAATATGATACCCAGTGTGGTAGGAACAGGGAAAGATGGTCTGCAAGAGAAAAAGGGAATACTCCCATTTCGAGTTCGCTTTTGCTCASTCTTAGCCTCATTTGTGTTGTCTAGTAAGGAATGTACGTACTACGGAACAATACGAGTTGATTAAAATGCCACGGGTTTTGGTTGAATAGCTGAATATTATAACGCACAACCGAGACTAAGGCTGAGCAAAGAGAACTCGAAACTGGATTATTGATGAATCCTTTGTTCATTATCCCCCTTTCCAACCCCTTTTATTCCAATTATTTCTGCCTACCCTTTCGTGTGTYGTCGTTTTTTCTCGATCGTTAGATTAGGGTGAAGCTCGAACAGGAAGTATATATTATAACTTTTAAACTACCCTTACCAGAAGCCATTAATTACTTGCAAATTTGAAAAGTTTTAACACAATTCCACCTTCATTTTATACTAATGCTAGCTTATCTGCTCTAACTCTGCGAGAAAGCTTGCCAGGAATCAARAGGCTTACTATATTGGTTCTTTTTTGTATTTTTTCTAAAGGAAACAAGTAAAGTGACTACCTCAAATGAAGCAAACTCATCCGACTCATCTAAAAGCAGAGACACTAATCGAGACAGCTCCAGAGACACCCACCTCAAACCAACAAGCAAGCATACATGGACATCATCATCATCATCATCATCATCTAGACTTTCCGATACCCCTCCCAGTGAGAGGACATCATCATCATTTAGACCTACACAATTCCAGGCATATCTACAACATAATCAGATGATCGAACCGATGAATTATGATCCTGCTACAGGTGTGTCGAGACTCGCTTATGATTTTTATATTTAGGGATTTAGATGTGGGACTGTCATGCGCGAGTTTCCCCACRAGTAGGGTGGTTCAATCTACGAGAACCTCTACAAGCGAATGAAATCCAGTGACAAGTATATTTACAGCGCTTTTTCAATCACACTCGCAAAATCGTACGATTTGCCATCCCAACAAAATAAGTTTCTGGAGGATGTGAGTTATAGTGTTTCCATAACAACTTTAAAAAAACACAAAGTTTTCAAGGGTGACATCCCACGGAATGATATGGAAACGCCTTGATTGACGTCCTTCAAAACCTACTTTCAGGTATTTATCGCGATAGCAAATTGTACGTTCCGGTGAGTGATTGGAAAGTGCTGTAACGCTAGGAATCAAGATGTATGCCACTCGCTATTTCATCCATGAGCCATCATGTTAAAAGTTTTTATCGTGCGACTAACAAGCGATTAAAATGATGGGTTGACTTGAGATTAGGACAGTTGCCGGATAAAATTTCGGAAGCCACTTAAATGTGSAGGAGTGTCCCACATCGTATACATCAAATATTAAATAACTCGCTGTCATAATTTTTGTGGATTCTAAATCTGCATTCAAAATTAAACGTTATGAACGTCGTAAAGTTGGAATTTTTGTTCTGTTCTTTTTAGGTAATCCAGTGTTAATACAAACTTCAATGGCTTTAATGCCACATCAACTGCCCATGGAACTTGGAGGAGCCATGAATCTGTCGTCTACAAGTGTTATAACATCATCAGTATCAACTCCTACATCTGTACCTTCACGGCTTAAAGAACGAGAACGTTTAAGCCCATACAGAGGGACTAACGTTGATCAATCACCTTCAAGTTCTTCACATTCACATTCGAGATCTTCAAGATCTCGCAGTCCAGGTAGAGATGCATCACCAAAACCATCATCTCATTCCAAATCTACATACTCCAGAAACAATGATAGACCAAGAAGTCCACTATCACATGCACGCAGTCCTTACAAAACTCCTGATAAAACCCCTTCTAGTTCACCTTCAGTAGTATCTAGTTCTCATCTACACAGAAGTGGTGGTGAACGCATGTCTAGTACAGCCACAGTAGGGTCTAGAAGTTCACACAGAAATAGTGAAAGATCATCAAGTCCATTGAAACACAGCCATAAAGAGTCATATAGAGTACCAACAAGTTCGCCATCGAGAAGTTCTGTTTTCAACAGAGGGGATAGGTCGGCATCACCTCCTAGGAGCCAAGCACACAATGAATAYCGATTCAAACAGCGATCCGAGTCCAGCAGTAATACAGTATCAACAGACAGCTTGTCAAAGGCTAAAACTGCGCATGAAGACCCCGGATATAGAGGACAAGAGAGACGTGATGCTGAAGCAGCCTTACAGCTAAGACCAGGGATAATATCAAATAACTTGGCTGTTAGAAGAGGGGACGTTACTCCCAGTATGTTAATGGTTACACCWGCTCAAGAAGAGGAACTAATTAGAAGACATCATCATTATATGTTATACATGCAACAACAAGAACAGGCTGCTTATGGTCAGTAAAGTATATAGCGGATATTACACGGTGGCACGAAAATATAAAGTTTATCTTCAAGTGGTGAAAATATTTCACGAGTGAGTGCAGCAAACAAGTGAAAAAATTTTCAACACAATAAAATAAACTTCATATCTCAAGCCAACATGTAATTTTCTTCTTCTTCTTAACTTSGGAATTAGCTAACGAACTTTGGAATCGGAGCAACTGAAGTTTCGTGAAACCAATACAATTACTTTTGGATCAGAATCAGTTTATATAACTAATATTACAGTCAGCTGTAAAGTTTTTTTWAAAAAGAAAATCAACTTCTAAACTCTAATTGGAATTTCAGTGRATGAAGAGCCACTCTGTGGAAATGCCACTGCTAAATTCTACTTATTTTTATTTTTTATAAATCTATTTATTTTGGTAAAACACTATCAGAGTTCCTTCCTCCATGTTGTGAGGTTGTTAGGACGATGTCCAAGACAAGGTCTCAGTGTTGCTTAACAGTCTTCATAACAACCAATTTGTCAATAGCCATCAACAAAAAAGATTGATTAAATGACCTCTGGTTGGCATTTCTTATCACAATGGATTGATTTGCAGCAAGATCTCTTAATTGAAAGTTCAATAATTTATATGCACAACTTTGTGACAATATGTTACACTATGATAAATGAAACTAATGTATTGTTTGTATTTGCAGCAATGATGTCCTCAAATCAACAAAATGCTCCTAGATCAGGTTCCTACTATGCAAAGAGGTATCTATCATTGAAAATATGTCCATGTTTTAATCTGCAGTAATTCACACATTTTGACTTTTCTCTATTGACCTTTCTAACGTGGCAATCATGTTGAACAATACGTTTTTTCAAAGATGGAGCCATGTGTTCAAAGTCCATCCAAGCTTCTGCTTTAAATGACAATGTGACTGAAAGTTGAAAACCCATCAATATCAAATCTACCCTGGTCCCAGAGGCTCGACGATTTTTCTCCCGGCCACGTGTATTTTTAGCAACTCGCTCTCCGCTTCGCGGCTCAAAATATACGTGGCCGGGAGAAAAATCGTCGAGCCTCTGGGACCAGGGTATATCAAATCACGTGTAGTTCCAGAATATATCCATACCACCACCAAGGAGGGAATTTGTAAGATRATCCCCCTATCCCCAGGAACTTCATATTTTCGTCCATGCAAACTCTGTAATTTTGTTCTTTCTCTGACCCCCTCCTCTCTAGAATTTCCAGATCCCTCCATGGATGGGGTATGGATATTTTCTGGGACTACACGACAAATCAGTTGATCTTCACAACAATAATTATAAGTTACTTACGGAATATCTTTTCATTCATTTCTAGACAATAAAGATGACACTCGAATGGCAGCCTTACATGTACGGCATCACATGCACACTTCCTGGAGTTCGAAACCCTTTACTTCTATGACTTTCGAAAGCTTTCATGTATAAATATTCTTTGAACGTTTCTCCCACTTTGAGTGGGTTCAGGGTGCAAGCCATGGAATAGCTAGACGTCATCCATTCTCAAGCCCTAAAGATACCTCAGCTGGGTCTCCCAGTTTGAGTGGGTTCAGGGTGCAATCCATGGAAGAGCTACAACATCAAACATTACATCTACTCTGTGCATACACTGGTGATTATCCTTGTATTGTGGAATCTTAAGACGTCATCCATTTTCAAGCCCTAAAGCTGCCTCTGTTGAGTCTATTAGTTTGAGTGGGTTCAGGGTACAATCCATGGAAGAGCTACAGCATCAAACATTACATCTACTCCATGCATACAGTGGTGTTGACTACTGTTTTATGTCATCTCAAGATGTCATCCATTCTCAAGCCCTAAAGATGCCTCTGTTGGGTCTCCAGTTTCATACACAAGAACGAGATTCATTTTCATAACAAAACGTTTTTATTACGACAAAAGACAACGTTCCTGTTCACATATTTGTTGTAATTCTATTTCTTTGGTCTTATAAAACATCGAAGCAGATCCCTTTATGACTGGKAATATTTGAAGTGGTTTAGATAATCTCTGTGGTGTTTGGCTGATCTCTTTATCTGTTGCATGAAGGACACGAGTGAAGCACTGATAGACGATGCTGTCTTTTTCTTGCTAATATACAAGCTAAAGATTTTGCAGATAGTAAAATGATACTAGGAAATAAAATCGCACGGAGTGTCACTAGTTAACGAGAGGGTTTCYCTAGCAGCATTGTTGTAGGACAGGAAAAATGCAACAACGTTTGAATCATAAGGGATTTTTAAAGTTGCCCTACAGCATGGGTGCCAAGAAACCCATTCATAGACCCCTTGCAATGAGTCCCAAGAGGAATTGTTCTGGGGGGCAAAACAATTTTTGTATAAGAAAAGACGGTCTATTGGTTTGTCCCCCAGAACAATTCAGCCTCTAGGGTATCAATGCAAGGGTTCTATAGAGCGTTTTCACTCACGTGGCAAGGCGGACATATTGGTTTTACCAAACAATAGAAACTTTCTGCACAGTTTTTGCATCAAAATAAAGTTCAGTTCCCCGAGGATAGAATATGCTTTGTTTTGGTACACTAAAGCCCCGTTTACACTGGCGATTTTTGCGGCGATTTTTGTGGCAATTTTTGGAAATATGAAATCTTTCTCATCCTTCAAAAGAGACATTCGTCTAGGAAAATCTTGGTATCCTGAAAAAAACTTTACAAGTAAATTCTTTACCATTATTTATTACGGACAAAATCGCAGCAAAAATCGCTAGTGTAAACGGGGTTTAACATGGTCGCTGTGACGTCACGTGAAAACCCTCTATAGAGTCATGGTGTAATCATATATTATAAATTATTCACAGGAATCCCAAACAAGAAAATAACAATCTAAATCCATAGAATAAATAAATAAGTAAAATTCATAGTGATTCCAAAAAAACTGCTTGATGTTTTATAAGCCTAGAGCTAATCAACTAGTGATTTAAAATCAGGGGTACATAAAAAAATGTATGGTCAATGATCCAATATAATACATAGATATTTTTATGAAAAGATAATTTTATTTTGTTTTTTGTAGCAATCCAATCAAACATGAAAAAGATGAAAATAAAATTTGACCATTAACAAACAAATTGAAATAAAAAGAAATTGAATTATGTTTCATTATGTCTTTATTTGCTTTCTTTCACATAACAGAGAGTCCTTGAAACTATAAGATTTTATTACCCCTGGAAAAAGAGAGCATATTAGAAAAAAAAATCATTTCATTTTCCACTTCATGATGGACGAAAAGAATAATAGATTTTACAACCCACTTGATAAGGCTGCCCATAGATTGAATAACAATTTAGAAGTTGATTTTTGTGGTGGAAGGAAAAGAACCGGCGATGCAGGAAAAAGATCCTCAGACCACAGGAGAGAACCAACAAACATCTCACATACGACGGTTTTGATCGATTTTGGACAGTTTTCAAACCTTTTCAAATATTAAGCGTTATTTATGAAAAATGCAAAAAAGGTCATTTTTAGCCCACTTAGGCCCAAAAGCATGGACTATAGCCCATGGTTTTGATCAATTTTGGACCATTTTCACACCTTTTCAAATTTTATCTATTGTTTATGAAGGATGCAAAATAGGTCATTTTTWTTTGAACATCGGCTATAGCCCATGGTTTTGATCYGCGATTTTGAACCATTTTCACACAGTTTCAAATATTATCAAGATTTTAGCCTATGGTTTTGAAAAATTCTGCCTCATTTTCACACGTTTCTAACGATTATACATTATTTATGTAGGATGCGAAAACAGACCTAATGGTTTAAAATTATTACTTTACCTTCATGCTTGATTCTGATATTTATTGTTAATTAGTAAATTAATTTTCTTTAGTTTATACACTAAATCGAAAGATGTGTTTTCAAATATTATCCATTATTTTTGAAGGATGGATCATTTTTGGGCCCAAAAGCATGGACTATAGCCCGTGGTTTTGATCTATTTCGCACCATTTTCAAACCTTTTCAAATATTATGCGTTACGTTATGAAGGATGCAAAAAAGGTCATTTTTAGCCATTTTGGCCCAAAAGCATGGACCATAACCCATGGTTTGGATCGATTTTGCACCAATTTCACACCTTTTCAATTATCATCCACAATTTGGATGAATGCAAAATAGGTCATTTTTTGCAAAAAGCATCGGCTATAGCCCATTGTTTTGATCGATTTTGGACCAATTTCACACCTTTTCAAATATTGGCCATTATCTTTGAAGGATGCAAAATAGGTCATCTTTAGCCCATTTAGGCCCAAAAGCATGGACAATAGCCCATGGTTTTGATCGATTTTCGACCATTTTCAAATCTTTTCAAGTATAGTTATGCGTTATATATGATGAATGCAAAAAGGACATTTTTAGCCATCTTCATCCCAAAAGCATGGACTATAGCCCATGGTTTTGATCGATTTTGCACCAATTTCACACTTTTATAAATATTATCCATTATTTATGAAGGATGCAAATAGGTCATTTTTGGCCCAAAAGCATGGACTATATTTCATCGTTTTGATCTATTTTGCCGGACCATTTTCACACCGTTTCAAATATTATCAAGATTTTAGACTATGATTTTGAAAAATTCTGAATCATTTTCACGCTTTTCTGACAATTATGTACTATTTATGGAGGATGCGAAAACAGACCTAATGGTTTAAAACCATTTACTTTACCTTCATGTTTGATTCTGCTATTCATTGTTAATTAGTAAATTGTCTTGAGTTTATACACCAAATCAAAATATGACAATTAATATGAATAACTATTGTTCTATACTAACTAGGTCTCATAAATGTGAAAATGCTAATTTTCCACATGAACATGAGGCTAGTCATTAGCTTAAGTCAGTACAGAACAATAATTATTCAAATAATTGGTTCCCATATTTTGATTCGGTGTATAGACCTCTATTATTACCTGGTTTCACTTTGTTATTTCCTGTCTTATGTGTTACTATTGTTCATCAGCTGAATTTGCAAATTTGCAAATTTTCTTGTTTGACAGCACATGGTGGTCAAAGTTATAACAGGATTCAAAGACATTTATCAGCTGATCAAAACCAAGCAATTATCCTGGGTATAGAGTTGAAATGGAAGAGAAAGGAATGCACTCCATTTCCCCTCCCATCCTTTTCTTCATAATACCCTATTAACTTGCACCACTACACACAGGCAATAAACTGGTGTCTGACACAGGTGTCCTAGTGGACACCTTGGGAAGGATATATGCTGGGTATAAATGGAGGTTCAGTTTATTCATATTTTATTTCTTTCTTAAAGTAAAGAGTAGAATGAAGGACTGTTTACATCCAAAACATCTGTTCAATATACAGTAGGACCACTTGAAGCAGCAGACCTTGGGGGAATAGACAATTTCCACAATGCCTGAGCGCTTTCATTAGTATTGCAGGCACAGACATCAAAACGAGGCATTTTCGAGTAGTGTGATAAGAAACTATTGGAGACCATAGAGTTAAAGGCAATTTCCAAAACTCTTGAAGAAAAGATCTTGCCTAAAGTGAGCTATATTTTTTCGAAAAGTTATGATCCTGCTCCCCAACTAAAAAAAACTTCAAAGCATTCCTTCATTAACATAATTTTCAAAGTTTTGTATGTGTTTTCCACAGCACACATRATAGTCTTGCCCAAATGCCTTATATTTTTGTCAGCTCTCTATCACACATCTCAAAAAAGAATTTTTGTCAAGTGGCTGTTCAGGCTAATTACTGCAAAACATGGGACTTTGACAACCTGCTGGTTGGCCTGGGGGGGATACTCCCCTATATTTGCTATACGGGTGTGTGCCGCCCTATAGGGTATGGTTTTTCGGCTTTTGGGTCTGGGGTAGGGTATCAAYTTTTGAATTTTTGTCTGGGATAGGGTGTCATTTTAGTCTGGGATAGGGTTAACGATTTGGTCATTTTTGTCTGGCGAATAGGCTACGCTTTCTGCCGGCACAAAAACGCTAAAAGTGTTAGTAAATATTGATTGCAATCGATTGTAAAACCGTATTTTCCGTCTTTTAGTCTGTGATAGGGTGTACAATTCTTAGTTTTAGTCTGGGGTAGGGTATGTAAAATCAAAATTTTAGGTCTGGGATAGGGTCAGCGTTTTGAGGTCTTGGTGGCACACCCCTACCCAAGCTGGGGTGGTAGTACCCCCCCCCCCCCCGGGCTGGTTGGCTACTTAACAGAGGTTCCATCCACTTTATTGATTTCAATAGAAATTGAGAAATCCATAAGTAGTGTTTCATCAATGGTACTCTACTGCAATGTATACACAGATACAATACTCACTAAATAATTTATTTAATATATTTATTACTTGCTGGCATTACTATATTAGAGTGATTTTACTTGGCCTGGTAAACAAAGTTGTATAATTAGTGACTAACAGTCCAAGAAAAGACAAAAGAAAAAAATGAAATTTGTGTCTACTACTATGTATTAAGTTGACTATTCTTTCTACGGACCAAGTAAAAACACTCTATCTAAATTATTTATTTGCTAGGCTTTTCATAATTTATCACTTTTATGATTTCAATTGATAAATACTTGAATCAATGATTCATACACCAGAGCGCAAACACTATATTCATGAAACAAGACTCTTATATGACGAGCACTAGATTGTACTAAATAATATTTATAGCAATGATAAAACAAGACATTGCACTATTTTATAGATTGTATACCATATATCTGCATAAAAAATGTAAAAAAGTGCACAAATTTGCCCAAATTAGTTAGTTTAGTAGACCTCAGTATACCATAGACCTACAAAACGTTGCAGTAATTTGTACAATTTTGCTAGTTAATAACTCCTTTACAGATATATGGTATGTACTCTAATATCTTAATAAATAGATTTAGCCAATATTTAACAATTATTCGCCGCTTGAAGACTAGCGTCTCGGCAAATATTCCCCGACATTCACTGAGGCTGAGGCAAATRATTGTTTTAGTATAAATACACAGGTGATTCTTTCAAAAGAAAGAAAAAAAGAAGATAAAAGACATTATTTTTCAGTAACAGCAACAAAACTGCTGGCCGCTATTTTGGATTATCGCTGGAGGTGATTATCGTGTGACAGTGAGAGTTTCTTGACCAATCAGTGTGCAAAATTTTCAATAATCATCTGTGTATTTTTATTAAATGTAGTCATAGTTTATTTATATTTTATTATAGCAATATGTAAGTTCATCCTGCTTTAATAAATACAGTATTGATTGATTGATTGATTGATTGCTGTTTCACAGACAAAGATTTCACAGATAAATCACCTATGAACCAGCTACTTCTTTCAGAAGGGAAGCCATGACATTCTCTACAGTCAGATTACGTCCTTCAATACTAACAGTTTTCTGTCTTGATTTTGACCCTCTTTCTAAAGTAACTGCACTTTTTTTTACTCCAAGTAAAGCCGCTAAATAACTCACAAGCTCTTCATTGGCTTCTCCTTCCTTTGGCGGTGCAGATATTTGAATCCCTACGCATTGTTCCGACACCTCTGGATAAACATAATCAATTATTAATATTTTTTCCCTAAATCATCTATAGATTCCTAGCACTAAATCGCTACCTTCGATTCAAAACAATTTAACATATTAATGCCATAAAATATTTCAATCCTCATGAGAAGGAAATTCTTTCATAGGTGATTTTCAACCATTCCCAAGAGGGTTAAAAGGCATGGCGGCCATGCTGGCGTACAGGTACTTACAATGACCCGTAATGAGAAGTCTTTTGTTAAAGTCTATGACGTAAGGTGTAATATTACCTGTAATATTATTTTGTTTGGCTCCAGGTTTTGCTTGAACATTAATGATTATGCTGCCATCTTTGGACATTGTTACTGCAGACTGTGCTGAGTTTGCTGTTGATGTAGAACTATCAGCCTTTTCGTTGGCCTTCGACGTTTTCTTCCCTTTCGGCATTCTACGACCATCTGTCAGCAAAAACGGAACAAAAAACTTGCAAAATAGGCTCCTAAAGTTTCTGCAGTTACAATCTGATTGATAAAAAAGTACCCTGGAAGAATTTAAAAGAAGAAATAAAGGTTTTCTCAAGGTGGATGGGAGAATTCTTGACAAAACCTTCAAAAACATGTTTAAATCAGATATCTTCCAGGCGTTTCTCGTTTACCACTGATACGAGCAAAGATCGGATTCCGATTGCTAATCGTTGCTTCGTTTTATGTTTGAATAGTAATGAACAGTCAAGTTTTTTATCTTAAAAGAAAAGAAAGAGATAGGGTATCCTTAGAGAAAGAGTTTTTAGGTATTAATTCGTAAAAATCAAACTTTAAGCAAACGCATTTGAATTTATGCAAGAGTTACCGAGTGGCCGAATCTTTTCCGAGACATTGCCGATTGGTTTTCGATTCATAATTTCTAAGCTCAACGGATGCTGRCTTTCGAACGGCCCAATAAGCAAATAGAACTGATAGTATCGACGTATCTAGTCAGAAAGAAAACATTGAAATAATCTTACTACTAAGAGTATAATGAAATCAAGAGCAAGGTCTTCCATTAGGAAGAAAGCAAATCGAGTTAAGAAGGCAAACAAATCGGACCAAGGAAGAACAAAGAGCAAAGACGCAGTGCTTGCGGACGAAGAGAATTTGACTTTAAGGAGTAGGAAAAGAAATGAATCCAACGTTATCGTTTCTGAAAGTGAAAGTGAAGAAAGTGTTCAAGAAAGTTCAAAAAGAAAGAACCAAAGATTGAATGTAAGCGTTGCAGAGACTGATAGTGATGAGGATTATGTTGAGTTAATCGATATGTTTGATGAATCAGTCGAAGGGGATTCAAGCGACTCAGAAGATACGGATGGGGAAGTAAGTTCTGGTACGAGAAAATCGCCAAGGAATTCTCCCAGAAAACGCCAGGCTACCTACTCTACCGATGACAGTGACACTGAATTCTTTGATGCGTTTGAAAATATCAGTASAGAGATTGCAGGTACCAGTAATGGGAAGGATGAATGTTCAAGAGTAAGTATATATGTATCATCTTTTTGTGCAGTGCTACCCACAAACTGAGAGTTGATTGTATGAATAATGATTGGTGTTTTATGTAGCTTGATCTTTTTATTATCATCATTATCATTAACAACAACATCATTATCATCTTTGTCATCAACATTGTTATCATCGTCATTGGTGGCTATTGTAATCAATCTGCAGCTGCTAACCAGCTGCTACCAGCTGCTACCAGCTGCTAAATCACACAGTTTTTAATTTCTCAAAACCTACCAACACCTTACCAACTGCCTACCAACCACCTACCAACCACCTACCAACCACCTACCAACTACCTACCAACCACCTACCAACC